TGCATTGTAAATTTTGGTCAATGACATGAGACAAAGTATATGTGAACTGCTGTATGAAAAGTGAATTTACTCTGTAAATATTCACCCAAATCCTAAAAAAAAAAAAAAAAAAAAAGAGTGAAGCAATGAAAATTGATAGGAACTTCAGTATTTGTACACTCAGGAAACATTAATGTTGAGTGTTCCTATAGTCTGATTGGACCATGAGTGGTCTTTTCCTTGGGGAGCCTCAAATGTCAGCACTGGTAGGCAAGTCTTTCCTCTAGCACAGTTCATAGTTTCCAGAGAAAAGTCCTCCAGTCTCCTGCCCAGTGAGTGTATCACAGTTGTGTGTGTCATGGGAGCAGAATGGGATAAGGAGGCTATAAGACTCAGTGTTGAGCTGTAGACTTGCACTTGATCTCTTTGGTTTCAGTCCATATTTCACTAACATTTTGGTGTACCTGTTATTTGGAGCTCTAGGTCCCTGGGTGACACAAACAGCTTGCTCTCAGTTGGTAATGGAAAGCTTAGTTGTTTGAACCCACTCAGGGCTCTGTGGTAGAAAGGACTGATGATCTACTTCTGTAAGATTAAAACCAAGAAAACCCAGTGGAGTTGGCAGACGATGTTTCTACAAGCATATTTGTATGTTCTGTAAGAATGTCCAGGTATATAGTAGAGCTGACAAGGGACAAGGTTGTGGTGACTTCTTGACCACAGCCAGGTACCTGGAGGGAGTGAGTAGTTGGACCTGTGGGCTCGCGACCATGGTCCCAGGGGACATCAAGTTCAACTGGCATAACATACTACACAAAAACATTGTTCCATATCCTACTTTGGCGAGTAGCAACTGGGATCTTAAAAGCTTGCAAACAGCCATCGAGATGCAACAAAGGGTCTCTCCTCATCCAGGACAAAGAAGAATGAAGAAAAACAAAGATGCATGAAAATAATTAGTCCAAGGAACTGGTACACCATGCGATTCTCAGCCTATATGACTATGAAGCCAGAAGAACTAGATGGTGCCCAGCTACCACTGTCAACCACTCAGAGGGGAATTGGTGCAGGAGATCCTGGATAAAGTGGGAGAACAATGTAGAACAAAACTCAAAATCATTAAAAAAAAAAAAAAAAAGACCAAGTTTGCTGATTTGACAGAGCCTGGTGAAATTTCTGAGACTATAGCCCCTAACTGCCCTTCAGGTCTGGAATTGAACTCACTCCTGTGGCTTCCAGCCAAATAAAAGACAGGCATATGAGCTGAACATTTACATTAGGTAGATACACTCCTTGGACAGATCAATCATGGGAGAACAGAAGGGCTGTGTATGTACAGGGAGATAGCTCAGGGGCAGGAGTGCATGGGAAGGAAGGACACAGGGAAGAGGTAACTATGGGGAGGAAGTGGGAAGAGATCTGTTACACTGTGGGAAATTGTAGTCAATGTCATGAGATAAAATGTGTATGAACTGCTGTATGGAAAGTGAATTAGCTCTGTAGATTTTCACCCAAATCACAATAAAAATAAAAAAAGAAAAGAAAATCCTGTGAAGCACAGTTCTTCTCTGAAGCACATGTGGTCTCCATGAATAGGAATTGGCTCAATGGATACGTATATATACATAAATAACAGTATATACGTGTGTGTGTGTGTGTGTGTGTGTGTGTGTATATATACTTATTTGTATTCTCAGGTCTAGAGTCTCATTTGTTTAATTTCTATGGAGAATTAGGTCTGGTTTTCAGTGAAGGTGTGGGTAAGGTTGTTTTCAGGCTGCAGACAGTGGAAGAAAGGATCCAGAGGTCTATCTGCTCCATTTACAGACTTTCAACCCATCACTCTGATTTCATCCCACTTCCACCTTTCCCAGTACCTACAGCACATAGGTCTCCAGACTCTCTGAGGTTTGTAGGGAATAAAATGCCTTGATCCTCATTTTTATCCCCTCTGCAGGCACTGTCGTTTAGCTTCCTCTGATCTGCTAAGTCATGAACCCCTCCTCTACCCACTTCCCATCCTCTAAGACTGTTTTGACGTCTTTTGTCCTCTTTGTGCACTTCCTTGTTCTTTCTCTTTCTCTTGTATATTTATACTGTTCTGACTCTCATGCTGTCATTTTATTGGCATTTCAAGAGGATTGGGGTAAAACACATGCATGCAATCTTCCATATTTAACCAGTATCCCCAAATAACTCTTACTTTTGAGAGAAAATGCTTTGCATTAAGAGTTGAAAAGAAGGATAGAAATTTCAGATGCTATATGGTCTCAGCTATCTAAAATATGTATTTTTAGCTGATTGTCCTATATATCTAAGGACAACTGACTGAAATAATAACAGTGACTTCTCTACCTGGTTACTATCTTCTGATTTCTGTTTTTTAGTATTCTGCATTTTATGCAATGGTCATTTTTTTAAGTCTCTTTGTTTATAAGCTTTTTATTATGATATGTAACATAACTAATAAGAAAAAAAAAGTACACAAGGCATAAATTAGTTTTGCAAAATGAACGCTTGTGTGACAGCTACCTGTGTCACAAAATGGAACATTGCAACACTCCACAGGCCCCTTCCAATGACATCCTCTTTCCTCTACCCTAATTTTTATGGCACTCTCTTTCTTGCCTACCTTTATTTATGTTTTTACCGCTGACGTATATATCCCTAAACAATATAATTTAGTTTTGCTTGTTTTTGAATTTTATATCAATGAATCATACATGTAACCTTTTGTGTCTTGCTTCTCTTGTTCAGTATCGTGTTCCTAAGATTCATCCTCTTTGGGTATGAAAACCAAGCGTACTGTCTGATAGAGACTGGTGAAACCCCTGAGACTATGGCCGCTAGTAACCCTTCAGGCCTGGAATTGAACTCACTCCTGTGGTTTCCAGCCAAACAAGAGACAGGCATATAAGGTGAAAATTTACACCAGGTAGGTACACTCCTTAGCACAATCAATCATGGGAAATCGAAAGGGCATATTTGCACAGTGAGAGAGCTCAGAGGGCAGGAATGCATAGGAAAGAAGGACACAGGGAAACGGTAGCCACGGAGAAGTTGGAGGAGAGCTGTGACATTATGGGGATTGCAATCAATGTCACAAAACATGTATGAACTGTTGAATGGAAAATGAATTTCCTTTGTATACTTTCACCCACATCACACACACACACACACACACACACAACCAGTTACCATCAAGGAAACTCTAACTCATGTCAACCCCATCAGGGTACGAGTAGAAGTGCCTTCCATAGGATTTTCAATGGCTGAGTTTTTGGAAATAGACTGCCAGGCCTTTCTTCTAAGGCACCTCTGGGTGAACTCAAACCTCTAACCTTTTCTTCAGCAGCCAAGTGCATTAACTATTTATACCATAGGACCTCCTTGTTGTGTACAGTAATTGTTTATTCATTTCCATTACTGTACATCGTCTAGTTTAAGAATAGAGCAGAAATAGTTAATCTATTCAGAATGTCTATTCAGAAGTTCATGGACATTTGGCCCCAACTCATAGCAACCCCTCCTTGGGTTTCTGAGGCAGTATCACTACATAAGTAGATTGCCCCATCTCCCTTCCAAGGAGCGGCTGGTGGATTTGAACCGCCAGCCTTCTGGTTAGCAGTCAAGTGCCTTAGCCACTGTGCTACCAGAGCTCATGTGATTAGTGGATAATAATCTCTCAGTGTGATTTTAATTTACATTTCCTTGATTATGAAAAAGGTTAGGAATATTTTCATATATTTATTGGCCATTTGGATTTCTTACTTCTGTGAAGTGTCTATTCAAGATTTTTGCTCATTTTTATATTGGTTGCACTAGCTTTTTCGAACAGATTTGTATTCTAAATATAGGCACTTTTAGGTGTATATGTTGCAAACTTCCTTTTACCCTGTAGGCTTGCTTTTTCTGTCTTCTGATTAATTGAAATTCTTAATTTTAGTATAGTAAAACTGCACGAGTCATGTTAGTGCTTCTTTTGTCATATGTAACACATCTTTCCCTAAGCTGAGGGAAAGCTATGGAGATGGTACTTTTTTCCTTCAAAAAGTTTTATTTCTTTATCTCTCACAAAGAAATTTAGGTCTGAATCCACCTAGTATTGATTCTTGTGTGTGCAGTGTAATTTTTCCGTTTGTATTCTTAATTCTTTGGCATCGTTTATTGAAGACTACCCTTTCCTCATTGTTCTGGATGAACATGGCCATGATACTTAAGTAGCTTCATTCATGGATTATTTTCTGAGTATGCTCCATATCCATTTGTCGGTTTTGTGTCAATTTTGCTCCTGCTTTTCTTTTACAGTAGGACCTCCCTAGACTTCATT